CGAACGTGTTGCCGACAACAATCGGAGCGTTTGAATGATAATTCGATGCAAAACCAACCATCAATTGCGTGAAATCGCCGAAAAGTGATTCCTCTCCGTGACAACGCTCGCTTTGGAAAGATACACCTTTCCATAATTACGGGGAAAAGTCGAAAATTGACTTGCTGAATGAATTGGCTGAAAAGACAGACCGTTCTTTCGTCGCGGAAATTCAACTTCTGCCAGAAAAGTGCGAGAAGGTCATAGCTTCCGCCAGGGCAAACACTCTGATGCATTCACGCATTTTGTTACTGAAATAGATGCTCAAAAAAACACAAAAAAACAGCGGCTTTCAATGCAACTTCCTGCTATATCGAATGTTTCTATATCGAAATTTCAGAATCGTCAAATTAACCAAATTCAGGGCGCTATTGGAACAATATATTCCTGAGACTAGAATAGAGCAAAAAAAGTCTAGCACCACTTTTTCTTCTGACAATTAGTCAACGAGAGATCGTGAGTTAAATATTGAAAAAGTTATCAAGTCTTCCTCAAATATCTCAAAAAATATTAGATAAATAAAAACATGTTTCGGACAAAAGTTGCTCAAATTAACTGCTAGAAGAAGATGATGTGATAAAAAATTGGGGTATCCGTTTAAGATTTTTATGTTGATTTTGACTGGACTTTTCAAGGTTATTCCAAGGTCAAATTCATAGCGTCAGCAAATAGATCTTTTGAAGCCCTACAACTTTTGTCTGAGATATTTTTCTCTGAAACGTCGCGTTAACGAAAAGATCCCGGATGACCCGGGTGGTCTGAAACACTCGGTATACATGAAATGTCAATACCGAAAGGGAAGAAGGGAAGAAAAAGCGGAGGAGAGATTGTACCGGGTATCTCGCCCGGAGCATCGGAACCCGTTTGCAAGCAATACCTCGCGTCTAGATCATCTTACGCAGTTGACGATCTTCCGCTACCTCCGCCGCGTTTCCTCGCTTGGTGTCTCTGGCGGGTGAAGATCATCCTTCGGATTGGGTTTCGCGCGGGTCAATTACGGGCTTCTGTTGACCACTCGCAATCTTTGTGCGCCGTCCGCTTGCTTCACGCACGCGTCCAAGTTTCTCTGAAAATGATGGCTGGATAGATGCATAGATCTGATGATCTACGTGCCATCTCGCATAATTGCGCGGCAACCAGCCTTGTGCATAATATCACACCGTGCTTTACTTAATTACTCCTCCGCTCAGGGAGTTTTCACTTAGCCGGCTGAGCCTCGCTCGGAGAAGCATCTCGCCTTCGTCAGTTTCCCAACACATTGCTCATAAGTCGAGTCTTGTTATTTCAACCGCTGCAATTAAATTTCTCCTCTGAGAGATTCTTCGGCGTTGATTAATTTTCTTCGTTCCCCCCCCCCTCTCTCTCTCTCTCTCTCTCTCTCACAGTGATAATTCGCTCGTCGTACAATCTCGATCTCTGCGAGTCTGGCGGCTGCGACGTATTTTAATCAGTTTGTCGACGGATCTTTATCGACCAGCGGCGACATTAAAGCGTGACCTTTTCGGCGTTTAACCATTCTGGGAGTTTGCGAAACTCATTAAACTCGACAAATTTTAAGCGCGGCGCGGCGCTCTCCCGGCGTGACGCCCGGGACTCCGCCGGCTCGATCTCCGTTCTCGTAACGTTACGTGGACGATATTCTCCAGTATCCGGAAATGAGCGGAAACGGAAGAGGAAGCGGACACGCCTGCTCAGACGCGAACGTACCCCGACCGCCGGAAATGGCGCGTTCCGCCTCGTAATAGGAGCCCTTTCTTGAAGGGAATTAAATTCGCGAGCGAGAGCGAGAGAGAGAGAGAGAGAAAGAGAAAGACCCTGTTCATCTTCTTCACGGTGAACAACAAATGTTCCGTCGACATTTGATGACGCCGGTATTCTCCCGGCGCAAATCCCTTACCTCGCGTACTTGTCAAGGTGTGATTTAAATATCGTCTGCGAAAAATGTTCGCTCGCGCGCGGAAAGATATCAGCCCGCTTGAACCCGGGACGTGTCTCTGGCGTGAAAATTCCTCGTGGGTGGGTTATCTCAAATCCAGGCATAAAAACCTGAACCTGGAATCGCGTGGACGCGTTATCGCGTTATTCATTTTTCGGCACGTTCGGCAGATTAAACGGGCTCTCTCGACTCGAGCGTGAAATTTCGCCGTTCTCCGGCGTTTCCTTCTACTCGCATGGTGCGCGAAGTGGACGAAGTGGTAAGATTACACACGCTTGTCGAAAGCGGGCCCCCGCTAATTGCGGCGGAGTGCGTACGGCGCGAGGAGGAGGGGAGAAAAGGGGAGCGTCAGATTTGAGCCGTGTGCTCGAACGCGCGTCAAACGGCGAAACTGGAGCGAGGCAACTCCAGCTGAAACGCAATCGCGCCACCGAGCGATCTGCGCCGCGTCGTCGTTGCTGTTCTCTCGCGCGCTCCTATGCACGTCATCGACGACGATGAACGCGCGCGATTGCCATTGTGTGTGTATGCACCGCGGAGCATCGCGGAGCGCCGCCACGTTTCGCGACAATGCCGAGATAACGTTAGCTCTCGACAGGGCAGATGGGCAGATGAGAGGAAACGCCGAGAGGTCGGTCGATCGCGATCGCGAATTCTCCGAGCGGGGATTCGACGAAGATCCTCTGAAAGCTTGACTGTTGACAATGGAGAGGTGTCGGACGAAACAGGATAACGCGGGGAATATCGGAATTATCGATGATTACGAACGTTTCGTAATCCTATCTATTAATCATTTACGAGAAGCGTCGTTACGAGATTTCAGTCGCGCGAGCAATCTCGTTTTACGAAGTCGATCTTGCGGACGTTGCAATTCCTCGTCGACGTTGACGACATCAAAACGCGCGTTACGACGATTCGCGGCACAGCCGCGATTTTACGCTTACCCAGGAATTAGCGTCGCAGCCGGCGAGGCCAGTCGCTTGATCAAAATTAATAATGAGAATTTTGTAAACCGAGCGCAAACCTCTCTCTCTCATTCTCTCTTTGTCATTCGCGACAAGCGCGAGGAGGACGGTGTAACCGAAACTGCTATTATTCTCTTCTACTTCTTCTCTTCTTCTTCTTCTTCTTCTTCTCTTTTATTATTCCTAGCCTTCTTCGTTCCAACGCGTGTCGCGTACTCGCGTGATTACGCGGTGTAATTTACGACGTCTCGCTTATGCATCGAGAAGCGCAACGATGACTTGTACAACAGCGGACGCTTTTCAAGACCGGTGTCGTGCGACGATTAGTATGCCTGTTCTGTAACTTTCTAACCACAATGTCGCTTACGCAGAACGGACACACACACACGCAGACTCCCGACGTATCAGAAATATCAAGCCAGGCTCCTTAGAATTTTAAACGCGTAACTCGTCTCGCGTGATTCTTAATAAAGATCGAGTTTTTAAGTAGAGTGACGCGGTCGCGAGACGTTTCGATAAAACTGAGCAGTCCTCGCGGTTATATCACAGTTCTTTATTTTATCTAAAAAAAGAAAGAAAACAAATCGAGCGCGCTGGTCGCGATTAAATTGTATCGTTATTCGCTGTTATTAATCGCTGGTTTCTCGCTATTATTAATCGTGGTTTCGCTATTATTATTTTTTTTTTTTTTTTTTTTTCCGTATCGGCAGAATAGCATCGTAGGATCGACGCGGATCGTATAGCTTTTTTCTTTTATTTCTTTTTTTTTCAGCAGACGGACGTGTGCGTTCGCGAGACTCGCAAATTCGCGAGATGTTGACCGTAGTGAATTTTCGCCGAGCCTGGCGGCGGCGGCCGTCGCATTATGTCGGCGTTGAGACGCAATAAATACCTCGCGCTATTTGCACGCGAGTTACGCGCATGCAAAGTTGGTTGGCCAACGTCGCTCTTACGTCACGGGTGGAAGCGATGCCGGGATGCGTGATTGTGCGTTTAGCGCGCGATGTGTGTGGCTCGTCATTGACCGGCATAGGATTGCGCGTCGATTCTACACGCTGCTCACGCGAATGAATCTACATCTCGACGAGCGAGCGAGATACTTGATATATATATATATATATATATATATATATTAGAGATGTGCGAATCAAGAACTTTTATGTCGAATCGCGAATCGAATGAAATCGAATCGAATCGTTCAAAAATTTAACACGACTATTAAATATGCAAATAATGATGGAAGATTTTCATATGAAAGGGAATATTGATATCGTAATATCATCTTAAAGTAAAATATATATTTAAATAATTAAGATAATTTGTAATTAAGTTATTAATTATAAGTTAAGTTAATTACAAGTTAAGGGTTCAAACATACAGGCCCAGATGGCCCGTTTTCTAGCTGATGCACGCAAACGATAATGCATTTGATTCCTATTCGAATTATTCGGATTCGAATTATAGGGATTCGGATTCCAATCGAGTCGAATTACATTGGATTCGATTCGAATTCGAATAGTTCGCACATCTCTAACACATATATATATTTTTTATATATATATATGACGACGATTTGCGGCTGATTAATTTTTATCGCGATCGCATCATCGTCATGATTAGGAGGTCAACGAGGTATCTCAGCGACGTCTCGTGGATAGACGACGACGTCCCATTACGAGTTCCCTCGGCTTAATCAATTTCGCGGCTATCGAAATCTTATTGCGATCGATCCTGTGCTGGGCAGGAATCGTGACTCACGCGTCGCCGGGACAAGTCAATTAAGTTACGAAGCGCGATCGGATCGCGCGGTCACGCGATTCCTTCGGATAACAGAATTGCTTGATTAATGAACCAGCCGGAGGATCTCGGACGCGACGCGGTGATATTATATCTCGCGTCATCGCGTTATCTCCGACGTCTACAATTTATCCGTCGCTCGCTACTCAAAGGAGCCTGCGCGAGTGTTTCCACCCAATCTCCAAGTGTGGTCGCTCTTACACAGAGCCTGCCCCTTTTCCGTGGACCTTTGCTCATGGATCGATATTCGTCATTTTTTGCAGGGTCTCTTGGATAAGTACCTGATCCCCAAGGCTAGCAGTGCCGAGAGCAAAGTATTCTACCTCAAGATGAAGGGTGACTACTACAGGTATCTCGCAGAAGTCGCCACCGGTGAAACCAGAAATAGTACGTATCGATCGACCCTCCGTCGACACACGCCCGCCGGGGCAACTTTTGATCGGGGCTGCTCTCGGGGACGGATCGAAGCGGGAAGGGCGCTACGAAATGTCGTCGTCGTCGTCATGTCGAAGACGTATCTCTTCCACGACTATCGACGTCGCGTCGATAGGCGGCGGGCAGGCGGGCGTGTTTGCTGACAGACGGCGCCGTCTAAATTTAAGTATTGCCGCAGCGGTGGCTCTCGGCGAAATTGCCCAAAGTTTCGCGGCCATGCGACCCTCCCTCTCCCGCCTTCGATCCCCCCGAAGAGCCTGAGAGAAACGCGCGCGCGCTCTCGCGATGACGCGCGGCCGCCGCTGTTGCGAGTCGCGCGAGTTGTTGAACGCGATATCGAGTTCCTCGATACTTGGACACTTTTCCCGCTTCTCTCGCAACACGGTCGCGTGTGACGCAGCTGCATCGGGCAGATGTTTTTGCCTCCTTCTGACGTACGAGCGGCGGGCGGATCCCTGGACGCGCTCGCGTTCCCGCGGCCGCGGCCGTTTTTCGCGGTGAAAGTCGCGCCGGCCACGGCGGCGTCCGCGGGTGAAAGTTCGCGCAAACTCCGGCCACGCGATTTTACTTCGTTCGTCATTATTCAACCAGCAGACGTTTCTTTTTTTTTTCTTTTTTTTTCTTTTTTTTTTTTTTTTTTAGTTCTCGACACGTTCGGTGTTGCGCCCGCGGCAGCAAAGTTTGTCTCAGATTGATCGAATATCAGACTCCGAATTAAGTCATGATTGCGCAATTTCGAGCGTCGAAGTAATAAAGCTATGCATGCTGATAAGCGCAGCGCGCGCGCGCGCGAATTCGGGAAATTGCGAACGCTCGCGCTGATACGAAGCGAGCGCGGGTTTCGATGAAAAGCGGCTGCCGAGCACCGGAGCGAATATACGCGGGTATACACGATGGTTAAATCTCTTACGTGCCGATCGCGCCGATCCGCATCGTAATTCTCGTCGCGCTCGTCGACTCGAGTAACCGCCGCTCCAGGACAATTTTCTGCAGCAGCCCGCGCGCAATTCAATCATCCGCGCTGATTGTCGACCCGACGCCGTAACTATGTTTCGGAAAAATATATCGGTGTATTGTTCCGACTCCTCTCGAAAAAGGAAGAGGAAACATTCGCGATTCGCGTAAGAGCGACGGAGCTGCATGGAGCGCGAGCGAGGACGACGGACGTTCCAGGAAATCGTAGCCGCGCGGCGGGAACAAGTTTTCGCACGGACTCTCGGCTTATTGCCACATTCATCAGGCTCGGATTAGATCTAGTAACACGAGGCAATCCTCTCGTCTCCGTTATCCACGAGAGCGTGGATGAGAGAGAGAGAGAGAGAGAGAGAGAGAGAGAGAGAGAGAGAGCGAGAGAAAGAGAGACGCCGCTCCAAAGTTCCAAGCAGCTCCCGAGCGACAGCCGAAGAAGCGGCCGAAACGCTTCGAGCGCGCGTCTAACGCACAACCCCCGCTCATGCTGTTCCACCCATCTGAATATCCAGCCGTGGTAGAGGACAGCCAGAAGGCATACCAGGACGCGTTCGAAATCAGCAAGTCAAAGATGCAGCCTACCCATCCGATCAGGCTAGGTCTCGCCCTAAATTTCTCTGTCTTCTATTACGAGATTCTCAACTCACCAGACAAGGCCTGTCAGCTGGCCAAACAGGTATACGCCCGACGACGGGCTTGATCGTTATTTCCAGCTGTTCCGCGCCGGAGATAGAGAGAGATAGAGAGAGAGAGAGAGAGAGCGAGAGAGAGAGAGCCGATGCGCGCGGTGGCGGTGGCGGTGGCGGTGTGATGGTACGCACAGTGGTGACAAAGAGAGGAGAGAACGACGAGAGAGAGAGAGAGAGAGAGAGAGCCGCGTTTACGCGCGCGCGGCCGGCAGAAGGAGTGAGAGAAGACTCGCTACCGATATCCGACGACGAACCCACCCACCCACCCACCTTTGTCTCCTGTCCTACAAAGATCGCTATCTCCGCGCTGTGCGAATCGCGCGGCTTCGCAGCCGCGACGGTCTTCTTGATATTAACACGCGATATGGGAACCTACTTATCGCTCGTTAAAGACGACGGACACGCCGGGCGTATCGGTGTGAGGGATTTTTACTTGTCGACGGAGATTACGGCACGTTGCACGTCAAAGTCGCGCGGCTTGGGGATCTCCGCTTCTGAGTTGAGTCGAGCTCGATCTGCGACAGGCTTGAAACAAACCACCTTTGGTCGTTTGCTCTCCAAGCCCTAATCTGCTGCAGCGTGGTCTTTGGCAAAAGGCATTTCTCACGCTGCCAAGAGTCGAACACAAAGTTTGAGGCTTAGGGATTGCGACGTGAGAGGTGGCTCTTTTGCCAAGTGCCAAGTCGCAACTTAAGGCTTAGAGCAGAGTTATAAAGGCTCGCCTAGATTCACCTCTGGCAGATCGGGGATCATAAAGCGTCGTCGCGACTTTGGATCATTTCGCGTGAAAGTGAAATATGCGCTGCCTTCTAGCTAGCCAAGATTCTCGTTGCTTGATCTGAGATTATTTCGGCGAGTACGACTATTGAACCGGCTGGTGTCTTCTTGATGCACAGGCCGTTCGGCTGCGAGTGTAAATCGCCCGGATTCGCGAGGGAAAACAAAGCTATGGTAAAAAAAGGCAGGTCGTATTTCAGCCTTTAATAATGCGCGGAGACACCATCGGGGGAGGGAGGGGTCACTTGACTCACGCGCGGCATGAGTCAGGACGACGGAGACACGCGGCTCGCTCGCACGCGTGTCAGCGGTCGCGGTGGAAGATCAACGACGATTTATGTAGTCGACCCATTCAAGGACAACGGTGTCCCGAGTAAAACGATGGTACAGGGGTCGCGCATTGCAGGACAGACGCGAGGGAAATCGTTCGTAAACACGCTCGCGTTTTCCCTCCGTTTATTCAACTTTCATTCGCCGTTCCCCTCCTTCTGCCTCTCGCGGCGACGACGCGCGGGCGATTTATCGCTACGGTGGTTACGCGGCAAAGGGGAGAGAAAGAAAAGAAAGAAAGAAAGAAAGAAAAAAAAAGAAACGAGGTCGTGGAAGGTGTAATCTGAATAGAGGCTGATTTGCATTGCAGCGGTAGTCGAGGATTCGCAGAAGGCGTACCAGGAGGCGTTTGACATTGCGAAGGCGAAAATGCAGCCTACGCACCCGATCAGGCTCGGCCTTGCCCTCAACTTCTCCGTTTTTTATTACGAAATTATAAATTCCCCGGCTAGGGCCTGTCATCTGGCCAAGCAGGTTAGAGGGAGGATTGTGAGAGGAGTCTTGCGCTTTGTCTTTGAGCTCTCCTCCTAGTCGGAGAGAGCTCTCTTCATTAATCCACTGTTGTGATGCGTAGAAAATACACGTCACGTCGCGACACGATTCGCGCCTTGACGTGTGACATCGGCGGTTTGAATTAATTTCTGGCTGCGTGTGCATAGAGTGTGCCGCTTAACCATCCTCTTTGTTTCTCGAACTCTCTTACTAATGCGTGAATGTACCAAGACTGATGTTCACCACTGGTGCCGCACTAACCACCACCCCGCATCGCTCTCTACTCACGTTTTAATGCTCGCTAATAACAATTTTGATTATTATTCGCATTTTCTTTCATGTATTCTCTCTCGCTATTAATTACAGAGATAAAGTATTTTTGTTTGTTGTACGAACAACTTGTAATTTCAGTAGTCGCAAAGTTTCAATCATTGTGTGTCTCAATCTATAGTGATTTTACCTTCTCGATCATATTTCGATTCTTGATTATAGAAAGTACAAAAGTGAAATGCGAAACGAGAGAAGGAAAAAAGAGAGGGAGAAGGAAAGAGAGAGAGAGACACATGAGGGAAGTTGATCCGCTGATCTGTTTGCCATGTTTTCAGGCGTTCGACGATGCGATCGCGGAGCTGGACACACTTAATGAAGACAGCTACAAAGATTCCACGCTGATCATGCAGCTGTTGCGCGACAACCTCACTCTGTGGACCAGTGACACACAGGGCGACGGGGACGAGCCACAGGAGACCGGCGACAACTAACCTTCCTAAGCTTAAGTCCTTTCTAAACCTAATAAGAACATCCTATTCTCTATCGTCCCCCCGTCCCCCTGAAGTGCTCACCCATGTCCATCCACCCGATCCATCCATCCATCCGCCTGTCCTCTCGTCCCTCACGTACCTCGTTTCCTTCTGCCTTCCTTCCTATCGCAGTCACCTCTTCTCTTGAAATCTTTTCACGTGAAAAACTGATCCTTCTCCACTTTTCTCTCTCTCTCTCTCTCTCTCTCTCTCTCTCTCTCTATCTCTCTCTCTCTGTTTCTCTCTATCCTGACACGACCGCACACTGCTGCCGATGCCACCGCCACAAGCTGCTACGCTCGGTTCGAGAAACTCGAACGTTGAGAACCTCCGAAAAACCCATCCACGCTCGACCGTGTCCGTTTTGCGGATGATGACCGGTGTTGCTTTGCGGAGAAAGAAATTTCTCCAAGATCTCGAACCTGGACGCGTGCAGAGAAACATTCACGAGAGAGGAGAAGAGAGAAAGAGAGAGAGAGAGAGAGAGAGAGAGAGAGAGAGAGGGAGGGAGGGAGAGGGAGAGAGCTCTCCTGTATTTCGCCGTCACGTAGGAATTGGATCATATTACTCTCCCTGTTTATTCAGAGTAGACGGGGGGTGGGCTAAAAGAAATACGCGTTCGACATTCGCATTGCGCGCGACAGGAGAATCATAAAATAATGCAACGACGGGTTATCAAGACGAGACCGGCACGGTCGAGCCGTGTGGATCAATTCGGTCTCTCTGGCACACTTCGAAGTATCTCAGCAAAAGAATAAACAATCCGTATTGACCCATTTGTACGGAGGAACAGGAAGGAGCGAATTGTGGATGAACAGAGGAAAGGACAGGAGGAGATACACACAACAATCCTCCCCCGCATACCTTGTCTCGTCGATGCGATATTGTCGCGCGCGACGTTGTCGGAGGCGGCCGCGTGAAAGCGCGGCACGTATCTCGGGTGACGATCATCGGTAATAAACGCACATTGCAAGAGAAAAAAAAATTAAAAGAAATAACGCAAGCAAGCTAGGTTATATTATTCGGCTTCGCGAGTAGAAAACAAAAAAAAGAGACTTATTATACACTACATGAAGGGTGGAAAATCTCACGTTTGGGACGAGACACGGAATGCAGAGGACGTTACAAAAAAAGGCCCACTGTCATTACTCCCAGAATCTGCTCGCTGCTTACCATCTTATAAAAAAAAAAAAAAGAGTAATAAGGCTAGAACGAAGAGGAAAAAAATAATGAGAAGGAAGCTACAGACGAAAAGAGAGATTGGCGCGATGGTTTCGAGAAGAAGCGAAAAGAATGAGAAAATTGAAAGAGAAAAGAAAAGCACGCATGAATCTACATTATACCCAGTTGTCATTTAAATTAAATTTCACATTGTCTAGTAAGTACGAATATTATTATACGAAGGGAAGAACGTAGGAGGAGAAAGGAGAGTAAAAAAAAACAAATACATTAAGTTATTAAGTTCCAAAACGACATCAGTGGTCACTTGATTTTTACACTCTCGCTGTTCGTTTTCTCTGTTCTTTCTTTTGCCTCTTTTTTTACCCTTTTTTTTACTTTTTCTTTTTTCTCCGACACGCCTCCAGCGACACCACCACCACCACAACCACCATCACTACTTCCACTACCATCACCAACATCATATCTCGCGCATACACATGCAGTCCGACCAAACATCTCTTCCCGAACGGACTCCTTCCTTCCTTCTTCCGCCGCGACCGAAGAAAAGACTTTGCGATTGTCTCGCTCTCGCTGCTAGATGAATTCCGCCGAGTTGCGTGGCGACGGTCGAGGAAGGTTAATTGGTGTCCTGGTCTCTCCCTCTCTATGTTACGATACGACCTGTAATTTAGATAGGGAAGCGAAAATCGAAAATCGTACAGGACATCGAGGGGCGGCGAACGGGCGTTCATTTTTCTACTAGTGCACACGTGCGTCATCAAGTAGCCTGCTAAGAATTACTCATTATTTGTAATCGTAACGCAGAGCAATGCATCGCGATTAACTCGCCGCTCTGCTCGTTGTCGTCGAAGCTGTCTCTACATGTACGACGTCGTCATTCACCCACCAAGTTCCTCATGTGCTGCTCGTGGAACATTGAATGCGGGAAAAGGAAGACGGGGATAACGCGACGTTTCGTTTCCTTATCTGGTCGAGCGCAGAAATTACACACACACACACACACACACACACACACATTATATCACACCGACACCACGAGGTTACGCGAGGTTGTTGCGTAAGTCTGAAATTCTCGACGTCCGAACTTCCTCTCGCACCCTCTACTCGACCGCGCTCCTCGTCTCTCCCTTTTTCTCTCTTTCTCTCTCCCCCTCTCTCTCTGCTATATTATACGCGATATAATATATATACATATATAATACGTCACACATATAAATATATATCTACCACTTACTCTTAGTGAACTCGCATATCGCGGTCGAGAAGAACGGAGAGAGAGAGAGCAAATTGTACGCACACATTACCACACGTATCTAGACGTATAGTCGCGTACTTGCGTTCGTCCTGCGATGTTCATTTGTAAGGATTCGCGAAATGGAAATTGCGTGTTATTAATTAACGATAATGTCGCTTCCCTAGACATGGCGTCGTGTAAACTAGAGTACCGAGGACTGATCATTGGTAAGAATCCACATTCTCCTAGACCCGATCGAGGTACACGCACGTCGGACGAAGTCTCGGCACAAAAGGGAACTTTGGTCAGACGCGGCGCGCTCGTGCGTGCGTCACTGGCGGTCTGTCTGCGAACAAAATAATCGGCTCACTTATCCACCGCCGCCGCCGAGTCGCGTCCTCACGTCGCAGATGTGAATCAGCTGGCGTGAAATTTCGTCCGACCTGTGCGTCGCAGTTCGTGCGCGAAGCGCGACACGCGAGCTGCACTGCGATCATTGGCCCAACACGCGTCCCCATCAGTATTTTATTCCATGTTGAATGAAAGCCGCAGAGACTCGAAACGGGAGGTCCAAGACTCATCCGAGCAGAACTCTTTGTCGCATTTCGCCGGGCAACGTGAAGAAAGGCTTCTAGAAAGAACATATTCGAAAAATGATATGAGCATACGGGGAGCTGTGAATGTCTCCCCTCTCTTCTCGTATATATATGTATAACTAAGTATATGTATATACGCGCACATGCTCCGATTACTGCATATACACGCACACATGCATACACACACACACACACACACACACACACACATACACATGCGCGCATAATATAATATCGCTAACGGGAGACAGACAAGTTTAAGCAGCAGGTTAGTCGCTAATTACACGTGAATGGGTAAACGTTTTCCTGTTGTCGTGTTAATATTTCTCGATGTATAATCGGTAGTTATTGTCGCAACAAGCACACGAAACTGTCCGGAAAGTCGCCCCGTCGCCGCTGTCGCGGAATCGGGAAAAGGGAGAGAGAAATGCGTTTGCACGAGTGCTGACACATCGTTCCGCACGTCGGATATTAGGAGCGAAGGAGCGAATGAGATGAAAGAAAAACACGGGAGTGAGACAAACGCAGAGTCGGGAGAGACGATGGTGGAGCAGCGAAAACGTCCGGACGGCGACTCCTAAACGACAATTCCCTTAGAACGCAAGCGAGAGAATGTAACGTGTAACGTGTAATCGAAGCTTCGTTCTACAACTCGTCGCCGATACATTCGTTTCCGTTTGCTTGACCGCAACGATCGTAGAATGCAGGACGTAGAGAGAAAGAGAGAAAGAGGGAGAGAGACAAAGAAAACGAGCAAGCCGTCTGCTCCGCGTACTGGCACGTCTACGTCCTGTGTTTCGCGTCTGTAGAAGACGAGGCCTCGGGCTCGGGACGAGATGAGGTGCGAAAGAATAAGATATGAGCGACAAGAAATTTGTAACATTCATCGAAGCGCGCGATGAGGAAACGCGAATATGCGATTTAGCGAGAAAGACCCGAGCGAAGCGTCGAAGCAACGAAGATAAGACGAAAATGAGACTTTCGCTCAACTTCAATCAAGCTAATCGACGATTAACTCAGTCGACGGAACCAATGTGGTAAATAAAATGCAGCTTGCTGTTAAAAGGTGTAAGAAAGATCTTGTTCTTTCTTCAGAACTGGGATTTAAAACTGCTACCAGAGACAAATATTGTTTCATTTTAGTTGAAATACGCAGTTCATACACACACACACACACACACAATGTCAATATGTCTCGATTGTCGTTTAACAAGAAATTACACAGCTAGAAATTGCCATTGGCTCTATTGTACTTGGTAAATCATCGATTAAGTTGATCGGAGTTTGACGAATCGTCCGTAGAGTCCTCGAGTTGAACAACGAAGCGTCCCGTCCGACTAAACACTATCTTGATTAATACAATTGGTCGGACTCGCGTTAATTTCTTGTCGCCTGTATGTTATCTTGATATTTCGTTACGAAGAGAGAGAGAGAGAGAGAGAGAGAGAGAGAGAGAGAGAGAGAGAGAGAGAGAGAGAGACCCAAGGCCGAAGAATCGCACGATGAAAGATGCGGTCAGGTATCTCCCTTCCTCCCTTTCCGGAGAGTCCTCGCTGAGCGTTCAACGAGGGCTGGCTGGCCGGGACTGGGCGGGCGGGCGTGGGTGTATGTGTGTGTGTGTGTGCATAGTGTGTGTTCAGAGGTGGCAGGATACGAAGGATGCGAGGATATGACATCTCACCCGTACGCATCGGAGGGTAGTGTCGTCGTCGATTTCGACCTCGCGCAGCGAGCCCTCTTCGAATGTGTACCGTCCCCTCATCCTCCTCCTTGTCCCCGTCTCTTTTCATCCGATCCTACTCTTTCTCCCTGCGTAATACACTGTCGTCCTTACACACAACCTTCGGCTCTCTTTTCCTCTTGAGTTGATTTCTCCATACAAACATATTTTTCACCGATCCACTGATCTTCCACTTCCTTCCTTCTTCTTCTTTCCCGTCGATATACACACCACTTGCCTCTCTGATTCCGCTCCTCTCGAATCTTGTGTTCTCTTCATTTTCTGGATATTATGAATTTTCCAAAATAAACGTTATGTTTTTTTAATAACACTGGCAGTGACTTTACTCTCGGGAGAGACACCGTCATAATTATCGTCTTCACACATCGTCGTCTTACGTTCATCGTCATCATCGTCGTATCATCTTCATCTTCACTTTGTCGCCGACGTCGTTGTCATCGTCTTCGTTGTCATCGTCGTCGTCGTAGTCGTCGTCATCGTCGTCGTCGTCGTCGTCGTCGTCGTCGTCGTCGTCGTCGTGATGGTCGTCATCGTCATCAGAGCGGCTTCTCTTTAGCGCGTGATTTCTCCGCAAAATCCCTTCCCCGTAATAATTTTCGAAGCAGTATTTCAAGATACACCTTCACCACCGCGTCTTCTTTACTCTTCCTTTCTTTGCTTCTCTTTTCCCTTTTTTCTTCTCCTCATTCTGTCCGATCACCTTGAATCTCGCACGCGAGACCGTCTTAGGGAAATCGGCTCACGCCGATCGCGAGAGGAGCCGGACGTTCCAACGTCGTGCGACGCGTTGTTATGATCACGCAAATCTACGGGACGATCCTCCCTCGTCCTGGCAAGGAGCCCCTTCGATCCTGCTCTCCACGGGAAGCCGCGTAACACCGAATATCCCGTTCTCCTCCTCAACGTGTCCGTTCTTTCCGCCCCTTCTCTCCCCTTCACCACCCTCTCCACTCTATACTCTCTTCCTCGCCCATCCCCCCCCCGTCCCAAATTACGTTGTTCTATTTGTATTTATCATCAATTCATCGTAATTGTAAATTATAATTATTATAAACGTTTACACGAAATAATAAATTCTGATAAAATATCTGAGAAAAAAAAAAGAAACCACTAATCTTTCTCACGGCTATATGTGTCTTGCTTGCTTTTCGGCTGCGACGACAACGGCACCGTGTCCAAGGACACGACTAATTAAGCGCAGACTTTGATCCCCGCGACTCGCTGTCATCGGAGCCGCCGTCATCTCGCCGATAATGTCAACTCGCGGAGCCACGATTCCTTCGAGTTCGAGATCGTCACACGCGTCTCGACTCCGGCGTTTCTTCCTCGCATCGGCAAGATATCACCGCTAGGTATATTTTTTTCGCGACGCCCATTCGCGACATTTTTGCGAGGCAATTGCTCGTCGTTGTTCGCCTCTTCGACAAGACGGTTGATTATTTTTTGTCTACGCGCGAGGAGGAGACGTGACGCACGTGACGTACAATTAATCGTATTGCTGTAACTGCTGTGCTCGGTGTAATTCGTGACGAGAGTCGGTCTTCCGAGACTCCTGGTGTCGCAATGATGAGAGTGGAAATGACACACTCGTGCCAATTTGCGATGGAATGAAATGCAATTTCCACATCGCCAAGTATTATATTTACACACGCTTTTACTTTACTTTACTCTCTCTCTCTCTCTCTCTCTCTCTCTCTCTCACGTCGTGAAATCGCACTCGAACACCGCCCGAGATGTCGCCTAAACGTTGCAAAACATATTAATACATCATCGTGGCCCCGACGTGCCGTCACTCGTGACTTTAATGACTCGCTTATCCGAGTCTTTCCGCGACAACTCGTGCGACGAGACAAAAACTGCGGTCGACAAGGTAAAAACGAAGGATGTAAAGAGAGACAGAGAGAGAGAGAGAGAGGGGGGGAGAGGGAGGTGAAAGGGTGAAGCAGATAGGAGTCGCCGAGAAGAAAGGCGATTTGAAAAAAATTATGAAAATGCATCGCTCGGCACAATCAAAGTCCAGCAATCTTGAAAAGTAGAGAAAGAAAGAGAGGGAGAAAGCAGGCAGGAAACTCGCGGAGACTTTTTCATGTATTTAAGACGCGATTGGATATTCATTATGATTGCTACTATGGGTATCATTGTGCTAGATGTAATCCCCCGCCCTGCCCTTCGACTACCCCGCGTCCTATCCGCCCCGTACCCTCTACCCCCCCCCTCCCCCCGTACCTCTGCCCGGCTCCTACGTCCCTATTTTTCTTGTCGATGGTATATCTACACTCATATACTTGGTATACACGACTTACGCATTATGTATACATACATATATATATATGCATACACACGAAAGGGGAGAGACACGAGGTAAATACGCGAGGTATATATATGTATATGTACGTGCCTTTTCCGACAAGAAAGGCCTACCTAACTACGGTTAATCATGCTAAATTTTTTGCACAATTTATACGTGTAGCCGATACTCGAAGATACTCGAAGAAATACGGTTTTTGCTAACGAGAGTAGCGCGAGAAAAATTACTTAAACGCGAAATGGCGCGATGAGACGCAAAGAGAAAATTCGAAAGAAAGGGCTGGAGAGAAGGAGAGAGAGAGAGAGAGAGAGAGAGAGAGAGAGAGAGAGAGAGAGAGAGAGAGAGAGAGATAAATAAAGAAAGATAAATTTCGAATCGCGGGACGTCCAAGAGACGTTCGAGACTCCTCGGTTGCATCAACGAGCTGTCGCTAATTACTCAGAATCGAGTGAATCTGCTGATACAGACGAAGAAGGGAAATCTCAACGTAGACGAGGAACATCTACAATAAACTTGTCAAGCTCGTTTCTGCACACCATGGTGGGAGCGGAGCGGGGGAGCTCTTCAATTCCGATTAGCGTAAACGGTGGGAAACATGTTGCTGCAGCCGCGTTTCAACAGCGAGTCGTATCGACGATTCGAATTCGAACGAGCGCGGAGATTAGCGATCGGCCGCCTCTCTCTCTCGCAGATCTCTCGTGAGATCCTGTACCACGTAGACGAAGGGTATGACGGGTATGTTAAGCGCGGATCGACTCGCATACTCGCAGTAGCTGAATTCAGATTCTCTCTGTTTCCTCTTTAGACAGCTAGACAACTCGTAGCGCGGCGGCTGGCTATAATAATACGGACAGCGGCGAAACAGTTCGGTCGACTACGATTAGCGCGAAGCAACGTCGGTAGAATCGGCTCGGGTTGGGTCTATTAATAGGTGATCTCGGACGTGTGTGCGAATCTGGGTACCTGAATAATGATCCGTCGAGCGCGTGTGACCGGGCGTCTTCCGAACGTCTGCGCCGTTCGGACGGTAGAAGACGCGGAAGGCAGCCCTCTTGTGTCGCGTGACTACCCGGACAGCGCGAACTGGTAAAAGACGTTTAAGAGGCGGAAAAACAGGACGTCCTTGAGGCACCTTGCGGAAGAAACTTAGGATTATTTAATTGCCTTCAATTTAATAATCCAATTTCTCTCGAGAAGGTGTCTTTGAAAGATGTCTTGATTAAATTAAATTTGATTTAATTTAATACAGTTGGTTGCATTATAAATGCTGATCAGCTGTCCGGGTAGATGAAGACGCGTGGGATCAGAGCGAGGGTCAACCCCAAGAGATCGGGTCGCGACGCCTTCGACGACTCTCGAAAGTCGCCGGCGGCTCGTGGCGCGTGAAGCGCGAGGGAGAAATCGGGCAACGTTCGCGACGGCAAGGCGAACGAGAAGCCGCGGGAGACGAAGAGAGACCGAGAGAAGTCGAGGAAACGGAGAGCGTATGGAATTTGCCGCGTCCAGGACGAGACTGAGTCCCTGCGTGTAGGCGTAGAGTACCATTTTCGTATTGCGGTAGACACTCCTGAGGATGCTGGCGACAGAGTCCGACATAGGCTGCCCGATTTGGCTCACGAGACTGGTAGCTTCGACAATATTTTCTTTTTCCCTTCGTGGAACTTGATTGGCCAGTCGCGTCTATTCGATTCGTGATTAATTTTCAATCGATTGGGGATACTCCGCTACTTTGGAAATGATGTAACCGCGTGTACTCGTGTCGCCTTTTTGTAAAGGCGATCCTTTTTACAGAAATTCGTTACCAATGCGGCAAATTTGTGTTATCTTTCATATTCGTCATTAGCGGAATTGCCATTGTAAGCGTTTGAGCGCTTACGACGGTATCTATAACGAGCGCGTCTATAAAGTTACGTGAAATCGCGCTGTCGTCATTGCTTAGCGTTTCACGGAATCGCGTGTTGCGTCAGATATCTCTTTGACGTAATATTCGATCGTACGAGCCACGATATTGCGCCAATTTGCTTTCAGCTTTCTCCTTTCAGCTTCCAGCTGACACAAAGACGTCGAGTCTCCTCTGTGAAATTAAAATCGCGTATCGTGATTAGCAGAATTGACTCCCCCCAGGTAGCAGGTGTGCCGTTTAGAAACGTTTCCGAGAC